CACAATGTCATATGTCAATTATATCTCAATAAAGCTGGGAGGAAACAAACCGAATTACCTTCCCTCCAATATTAAAAAAATAGAATAAAATAAAAAGTCTGTTGTTAATTGCAGTAAGAAACTCAGAGCATTCACTTGGGTTGAGGGACCTTTCTTACTGAGAGGAGACGCCAAAGAAGACAGAGATTACAGATCCCCAAAAAAGAGAGGATGAGTGGAGGCTGGAGGGCCCAGGAGAGACAGAGGCAAAACTTCACAGACAAGTTGTAAGTGAGGTGGGAGGCAAGGTGAGGTTCACGTCTAGTGGCCTTTCTTCTCTGTGAAGAGTAGGCAAGGCCATCTGGCAACAGGCAGTGTGGGTCTTGGGGAGAGTGAGGTAAGTTTCTGAAGAGTTTTGTAGGGAATGCCTGAGGGGCTACAGGAGTCAAGACTCCAGACTCGTAGGAGGATTTCCTGCTCCTGAGGGCCAGGCGCTCAATACCGCTTCCTCCTCTGGCCTGCCCCAACTCCATCCCCTCCCCTGCGCTGTCCCCAGCCTAGACTGCTCCCTGGAAGGTTCTCCAAGCATTTGCTGAACAGCAACACCACTGAGCCCCATTTCTCGGCGCAACATACTCTCCCTCTCCCCATGGGCTTTCAAACCTTCCCACACTTCCGACACCCCCAGTGCCTTCTTCCCACACCCGGTAGGGGGCCTCACTGCCCACTTCATAAGGAACAAGGAAATCATAAACTCATCGGTCAAGTATCAAACACACAAATGCACCTACAGCTGCATCCTCGCCTGCGGATACAGCATTTTTAAACTGCAGCTTAATTTAGGGGGTCTTGATCAGCATTTTTTCTTTTTTTAATCCTCACATGAGGATATTTTTCCATTGATTTTTAGGGAGAGTAGAAAACAGAGGGAAAGACAGAGAGAAACATCAATGTGAGAGAAACACATCGGTTTATTGCCTCCTGCACGAGCCCTGACCAGGACCCAGGCCTAGGAGGAGCCTGCAACTGAGGTACGTGCCCTTGACCGGAATCAAACCCAGGACCCTTTGGTCCGACGCTCTGTCCACTGAGCAAACCGGCTAGGACTTGATCAGGATTTTTAAAGCAATAAGTAAAACAGAAAATAGTCTCTTGCACAGAGTAATTTACTGTTTCCTAACGCTTCTGTTTCAATTATGAGGCACCTGTTACTATGGGTTGAGGTAAAAACGTTTGTGCATGTGGGAAAACTTTCATAATAAAAAGTTAAAGCAACAACACTGCAATAAAGAGGCGGTCCCTCCTCCTGCCTCAGCTAATGCTTGTTTTAGGTCCCCCCCCCCCCTTTTCAGGACCCTTATATTCTGGACTTTAAGTCTCCTCTTTCTGTAAAAATCAAAAACACCTCAGTGGCCTCCTCCCACCCCCAAGTTCCTCTCCCTTCCCCTTCTCAGTCAAAGTTCTCCAAAGAGTTATCTGCTTGCCATCGGCTCCATTACCCCCCTCCCACCCCTCCTGTCACCCCTGCAGTCTGTCTCCTGCCCACTGCACTCCCTGACACAGCTCTCCCTAAAGTCCCAGTGACCCCGGGAGCCCATACATCTAGATGACACTTTTCAGTGGTCATTCACTTCTTGTTCATTCCTTCTCATCCTTCCCGCCCCTGGGGAAGCCGGCACTGACCTCCCTACAAGGTCAAACCACCCACCAGTGGCGCTCTCTGTTCCTCTTTCCTCTGTAACAGTTGTTAGTTGTCTGTTAAAATGTCACGTGTTTGTGCCATTATTTGCCTAGATCAGGCCTCCTCAAAGACAGTGATTAAGTCTGTCTTTATTCCCCTTGGCAGCCGGAGGGCCTCCCTGGCCCAGCACGGGGACACAGTAGGTGCCAAATAAACTGATGTTAGATAAATATTCAGTGCGAGTCTGTGCTAGGCTTTAGGTGTCTGAGGATGAAAAAAGTTCCCCAAAGTGAAGGTGGTGGGGAGGAGGAGGGCCAGGGAAAGGCGGAAGGAAGGGCTGCTCCTGTCCTGCTTCACAGACCAATTTGGAGATTTTCACAAAGAGCACATACCCCACAGCTGTCACCTTTCACGTTCCTCGTGTCAGAAAAGCCAGCGACCAAGGTAGGAATATTTGCCTACCATTTGATAGTGACCTATAGAGCTCTTTAGTGAATGCTTTATATCCACTATGGGTGACACCTTTCTGGCATCAAGCTACTAGAATTGAGGTCTGGATCTGTTTCATGGTGCCTACGTGTGGCTGGCACCTTCCACAGCACCGGCCCCTGACGAACTCCACAGAACAGCAAAAGGCCTTACTCTTTGCTGTATCGCCATAGCCAAAGGCCGTTTTATTGCGCTTAAATGCTTTCAGTACTTGGTTGCTGACTTCCTGTGGTATATCAGTACATAAACACTCACTTTTGACATTACAAGATCAAATACATATGACAAATATTTAATATCGAACAAACACAGTATGGAGATGCAGCCAGCAAAATACAGACTATCAGAAACTCTACTGAACAAGTGACCAGGTTTTTTCAACAAAACAATTGGGGGGGGGGGGGGGAAAGGGAGAGAGACATAGAGATAGAGATAATATATAGAGAAGGAAAAAGGATTTTTAAAAAAAGTGATTTAAGGGACATATTACTAGACATTGAATGGGATGTTTGGATCTTTATTCAAATAAAATAACTTGAAAAGCAAATTATAGGATAATCAGAGAAATGTGAATATAGACCGGAATTCTGATGACAATAAGGATATATCACCACTTTTTTTTTGGAGTGTGGTGATAGTTGATAATATTGTGGTTAGGTTTTAAAAGGGTAGTCCTAATCTGTTTGAGATACATACTGAAACACTGATAGATTATAAAACATAAAGTAATATAATGTATGGGATTTGCTATGAAATAATCAGAGTGAAGTGGGGTGGGGAAGAGGCCAGGGTTTTAGAAGGAAGAAGACTGTCAGTAGTTAATGGTTGAAAGCTAATGTAACGAACAGAACCCCAAAGTACCTCCCTTTTAAAGTAGCTTTCAAAGTCTGTAATAACTTAGAAGTTTTATACTTTTTAACATGTCTAAAGAGAGCAGTACTTTGATTCACAAGCCTCTTAAGGTATCTTTGAACAAAGGGCTCAGAGCTCCTGGCTGCTTGCCTTTGTCGCGGTTCTGTTGTAGGGCTCCCCCTCTTTACCTCCATCACCACAGGAGCTGGTCTGTTTCAAGGATGCACACTGAACTGCCTGCCCTCCAGTTCCGTCTGGCAGTGCCAGACGTTTCGCAGCCTTCCTGCTGCTTTCGAGCTCGGGCATGTAGCTTTCCACCCATGTCTTCACCCAGCAGTTTGCTGGGGGCTGGAAAACACGGCCAGGCCAATGCTTCCAGGCCACAGCACGCACCCCTGCCCATTCCCACTCGGCTTTCCATCCGCCTCTGACACACGGGTCACCCGGTGACCTGCCTGTTTTTGCCCTGGACTGCTTCTTTCTCAGAAAAGTTTGAACTAGCCAACTTAAAAATATTCAGAAACGTCTAAGGTCTACTGGACTCTGTGCCAAAATCGGATGTCGGGCAGAAATGACATTCCTGCAAGAGTTTAATGGCATTCAACTGCCTGCTGACACAGACAGCAGGAACCACCGCTCACAGACTCTGTGGCTAACACGGAAAAGCTGCCTGACCCCGGCCGGCTGTAACTCCCAAGTCCAATAAACCTGGTTTGGCTACAAACTTCTTAATTCATGCGAGACAGATTCAGTTGCTGAAAAACTGGAGACAGATCAGGGCTTCCCTCTCCCCAGCCCCCAACAAAACAGATCTTCCCTAAACCTTCCTTGGTTAAATCAACTCTTCATAAAATAAAGCAGCTATTGCATTTCTCCGTGTGACTTAGACAAGATAAACAGCTAGATTTCATTCACCAGCCTCAAAAACACACCGCACGAAACACCGAAAGCCTCCTTTATCTTGTCCATGAACAAAGCGAATGAAAACAAAGAGCAGTGTATACAAGCGTAAGCACAGGAATTTTCCAGCATTCTCATCTCCATCGGTGCACGCACACACAGACACCCCCACCTCCAGCCCCCCATCCTCCCTCCACCCCTACCCCCCTGCGCGGAATTGGCCAACGGGTAACCTGCACTGACATACAGTAGAGAAATACAGAAATGTATGTGTTTTGTCTTTGGTTTTTTGTTTGCTTTGTTTTAAATGGGAAGGAAGGGGGGAAAGTGGGGCGTTAAAAATTGGAGATGTCTTAATTCTCTCCTCTCCCCCCTTCTTTCTCTGCATGACAATGCAGGCACGTCGGTGAGATGTCCAGTGACAGTTTCTTGGGTAAATACCCCAATGAAAACCGGGAAGGCCGGGAGGTGTGTGTGCACCGGGAGGGAGATGAGGGTGAAACCCCGGACGGGAAGGGCGGGCCGGGTCAGAGCCCTGCGCTCCGCCGCCGCACCGAGCAGCCGAGGTCGCGCGCGCCCGCAGCCCGCAGCCGGCACGTCCAGGGTCTCGGCCGCCCGCTGCCCCGGGTTCTGCTGGTGACGGCGCCGCCTCGGCTGCCCACTCACACCCCGGGCTGGTCGCGGCGGTGGGCTAGGTTCTTCCGCTTCCGGCGACAAACCCCTCCCACCACCCCTAGAAATAATGTGCCTTTCCCCCCCGCTTTCCCAAGACTGACACCCCCAGCGAGAGCCGGGGACCCGGGGCCCGGGTTCTCGCCCGTCACGCCCAGGGGGGCCCAGCTGCGCAGGGAGTGACAGCGAAGCGGGGGGGGGGAGGGGGGAGGATAAGGGTTTTGGGGCGGCAGGAATGGATTGGGGGAAGGGGTGGTGGAAAAGAAAAAAAACAGAGGCATGCAAGTGGCTCCCTAGCCAGCTGTTCCAGCTGCCGCTTCCTCCGACGCGGGCCGGGCGGTGCAATATTCCACCCCCCCCTCCATCTTTCTTACCACTACCTGTCCCCCCACCCACCGCACGCACACATTCCCCCCACCAGTAGCAGATCTCTGGCCTGTAAGAGGGAGGTAGGGAGGAGCCGGGGGGGAGGGGGAGGCCTGCGAGTTTCTAACCTTGTTCTTATAAACAAACCCACATGTGCAGCTGCCGCTGCTGCAACTCACCCCACAATCCCGGATATAAGTCCTGCCCCTTTAAGAAGAAAAAAAAGGCTTCCCCCTCCTGCCTCCCACCCCACCCATCCACAAGGACCTTTGTTTCTCCACCCCCTTTGTCAGTCGGCCCCGCCCCTCCGATGTAGAGGAGCCAATGGGCTAAGAGAATAAGGCCGGTCCTCTGACGTCATCGTATCTGGCCAATCAAAGGACGCGTTGGTGGGACGCCTCACGGAGGGCGCGCCCAGAGGAAGGAAGGCAGGAGAAAGGAAGCTTGCAGTCAAGATGGAGACAGCTAATTGCTCCGCTGCCGTCGTAGGGAACGGGGACGTGGTGTCCCAGCGGGAGCGGAGCCTGCTGCCTGAGCGGCTTCAGAGGCGAGACCAAGAGAGGCAACTGGAGGCGGAAAGGCGGAAGCAAAAGCGGCAGGACCAGGAGGTGGTGGAGGAGAAGAGCGACTTTTTCACGGCCGCCTTCGCCCGGGAGCGAGCCGCGGTGGAAGAGCTCCTGCAGGGCGGGGAGTCGGTCGAGCGGCTGGAGGAGGCGGCCGCTCGGCTCCAGGGGCTCCAGAAACTCCTCAACGACTCGGTTTTGTTCCTGGCCGCCTACGAAGTGCGGCAGGCACAGGAGGCGCTGGCGCAGCTGCAGGCGGCCCTGGCCGACCGGCGCCAGCAGCTGCAGCCCAAGAAGCGATTCGCTTTCAAGACCCGGAGGAAGGAGGCTGTCTTGGCCCCCCAAGTAGTAGATGCGGCTCCCGGCGCCGCGGTGGCGGAAGGCACCCTGGCCTCCCCGCCCTCCGTGACCGAGGAGGGAGCCGTGGGCTCTAGCTGGCTCTGCGGCTTCTCCAACCTCAAGTCCCAAGTCTTGGAGAAGAGAGCGGAGGAGTTGCACCAGCGAGACGTCCTTTTGACCGAACTGAGCGATTGCACGATCAGACTGTACGGCAATCCCAACACCCTGCGGCTGAGCAAGGCCCGCCGCTGCACGTTGCTCTGCGGGCCGGTGTCCACGTCGGTGTTTCTGGATGACTGCAGTGAGTGCGTGCTGGCCGTGGCCTGCCAGCAGCTCCGGGTACACACCACGAGGGACACCCGCATCTTCCTGCAGGTGACCTGCAGGGCCATCGTGGAGGACTGCCACGGCATCCGGTTCGCCCCTTACACCTGGACCTACCCGGGGATCGACCGAGACTTCGAGAGCTCTGGCTTAGATCGGAGCAAAAATAACTGGAGCGACGTTGACGATTTCAACTGGTTGGCGCGGGATATGGCCTCCCCCAACTGGAGCGTTCTTCCCGAAGAAGAGCGAACGATCCTGGGGGACTAAGAACTTGTTACTCTTTTCTTCACTGACACCAAATTCTCCCCGTGTGGGACTGACTCCCAACCCACGGGACCCCAAGGTTTACTTATCATTGTCACAGAGTGTATGGTTTCAGTAATTAAGACTTAAAATTGTGATAGGCGATTTGTGATTTCCATTAAATTCGCGACAGGTATAACACTTTTATTTTTGCTACTTGGATAATTATTGCTAGTATTTGCCTGTGACAGTTTGAAGCCATAGCGGGGAAAGAGTGTGGTTCTCTGTTTTGTTTTTATTGGTGGTATTTAAAACTTACTGCATGACAAAGCAGGCCTTCAATAAATATTTAATAAATGAATGCCGCAGGGCGCTGGTAAGAGACAGTTCATGTGGAATGATGGTACCGAACCCGTGCCAGGTACCATTAAGGAGAACCTTTTGGGCTGAGTGTTCTCAGCAGGGTGCTCCTCTGTGGTCTTCAGCTACACATTAGCTTGAGCTTCTGGAATCCAGCTGGTCATTGACTTGTTTGGGTCCAAAAGTTTGGCTTGGACCTCCAGAGGCTCATGAGTTTTCCCAACTGTAAAGCCAAAACTATTCTAGCTACTAATTTTCTGTGCATTTAAAATGTCACAGACACTGTTCTAAGTACCTTACTCAAATACACTTACTAAGGCCTCAAATTTGTATGAGGTAGGTCCTCATACACTGTTTTTCAAGCGAGGAAACATAAGTATGTTGCTCGAGGGCACGCATGCTGGTGGACTGGAATCTAAACAAAGTTGGCTCCAGAGCCCATCTTCTCAACCCGCTATAAGATAGTGATTTTGAATTGTGTTGCGTTGACAAGAAGCATGCAAAATAATTAAAAAGGGCAAATTGTTTTTTAGAAAAATATATTTTTATTGATTTCAGAGAGGGAAGGAAGAGGGAGAGAGAGAAACATCAGTGATGAGAGAGAATCATTGGTTGGCTGCCTCCTGCACGCCCCCCCACTGGGGATCAAGCCCGCAACCAGGGTATGTGCCCTGACCGGAATTGAACTGTGACCACTGAGCCATGCCAGCCAGGCGAATTGCTTTTTTTTTTTTTTAACAGGCATAATTATGGTAGGTTTCCTCATACAAAAAAATGGAGACAGCCCTGGCAGGGTCGCTCATTTGGTTCAAGTGTTACCCTATATGCCAAGGTTGTGGGTTTGATCCTGGGTCAGGGCACATACAAGAACCAACCAGTGAATACGTAAATAAGTGGAACAACAAATCAATGTTTCTCCCTTTCTCTCTCTCTCAAAAAAAAAAAAAAAAATTGAGGCAAACATCTAGTTCAGTCTGTTTTTTATGGTGTTATCTATAACCATGTGATGTTCTATGTAACATGACATTGACAGACATTAAATGGCTATCTAAAGAGAAGAGGGCATGGAGACAAGATCCAGCTCAGTTTTCA